CCCCCCCCCCCCCCCCGCATCGCATTAGCCAGCAGATGACTGCATGCGCAGCATAGGCGCAGGAAGTGAGTGGGACGGGCCGAATGACTGACTGGCCGTGCGTCATGGGTACACCACACCACACAGCATACCATACACACACGCACATGGGGGAAAGCCGCCAGCCGCGTGTGGCCGGACGGACGTAAAACATGACATGGTCAGACTGCTAGCTATCGACAAGACAAACATCCCTCGGGAGGGACGTCGCAGAGAGAAAGAGAGAGCGAGGGGGAGAGAGAGGATGTTATGTCAAAATCCAGCCATTCATTCGTCCGTACTCCCAGCAGTCGTACATGTGTGTGCATTCACAGGTCCGTCCATCCATCCATCCATCCCCCCTCCCACAGAGCCCACATGGTGCTACGCAAAGCACAACGAGGGAGGGCAAAAGCAAAGTCCACACCCACACCAAAGGGCACATCAGTCATCAGCCACTCGTTCCATCAGCCAGCCAGACATTCAGCAAGACGTCCTCCTCCTTCCTTGTGTGTGTGTGTCTGTGTGTGTGTATGGTTTATCAAGGGCCATTGATTAGACAGACAGCCGTAGTTATTCTTAACACGGATGTGCCGTCACCCTTGGCCCTGTTGCCTGTTGCCCGACCGCCAAACAGACACACCACACACAACACACGGACGGACGGCCTCGGCGTTATCGATCTCAATCAAGCAGTCGAGTCACTCAACCACACACACACACACACACATACAGCCTCCACAGCCAGGTCGGTAGGGAGAGGGAGAGAGGAGGACCCAATGTGTCCATGCAGGGAGGCAGGCGTGCAGGCAGTAGCACGACACACCACACACAGCACACACAGCAAAGCAGCGGCCAACCAGCCATGCCATGCCATGCCATGCAGGCAATGTCCAGCCGTCCGTTACATGTATCACACCAACGACACAGACAGAAAAAGATGAAAGAATAAAAGTAAAGCGGGAGGAAAGGACAAGACCCAAGACCCTCTGTAGGCGCTTTCCTCTTCCCCTCCCCCCATCCCACCCCACCCCTCCTATAAATATGGGATATATAATAATGGACATGGTGGACACGGTTAGTTACTGATGGTCGGTTGCACCTCTCTATATACACACACAGCCACCATTGCAAGCGACCAGGCAAGGCAAGTGGTATCGTATCGGTATTTGTAAATTTGGTAGGTATCGTATACACACAACACAACACATCCGATCCGCTCGCCGTGTGGGCGCCGCTCCCAGACTGGAACGTGGCTGGCTTGCGACACACATGGATGGCATGGATGGTTATACACATAAATGAATCCATATTATATATAGATAGCATGGGTGGCATGCAATCATCAAATGAGTATATATGGCGTGACGCCCCTCCCCCCCCTCCCGTAAGTGAGCAATCGTACGCACCACCCAAACAAGGATACATATCTGTCCTTCACATATCAACCAATGAGTCGGCCAATTGATGGGCGCCCACCAGACAGGCAGCCAGCCAGCGGTGGACGCAGCCAGCCAGCCAGCCAGACAGCCAGGCAGGCAGGCAGGCAGGCATTTTCCCTTCACTTGTTTGTCTACTACGTGGAGCCCTCACTCCCCTACTGTCTGTTCCTCTCTCCCTCTCTGTCTGTCTGTCTGTCTGCCTTACACACACACACACATACACACCTACACGCGTGTGAACAACTAACAAGATTACAGCACTCATCTCTCTCTCTCCCTCTCCCTCGCTCAGGGTCTTTTACGCAGTCACACACACAGTCAGACAGTCAGTCAGTCAGTTAGTGTGTGTGTATGTGTATAAGTGTGTGTTAAGGAGGCAGGCAGGCAGGCACGCAGGCAGGCAGCCAAGCAGTCGCTTTCAATCATATCATGGCGGGACAGACAGAAAGACAGACAGACAGACAGCCGAAAAGGAGGCAACACTCACACGCATGCCGTCATGTAACTCAGTCATTGTAAGAAGTATGTAGTCATTACTCAGTGTCGGTCGGTCGGTTGGCATCTGTTGGTCGTGGGCCAATCAAATCATCAGGCAAGGGATTTGCAACGGATGCGTCTCGCTAAGCAGCCAGGAAATACCAGCGAGTCGATCGACCGATCGATCGGTCGATCGTCCTCCTTACACAAGAACAACAGAGAGAGAGAAAACCAGCAGCAAAGGGGGAAGAGCCCATCCCTCCCTCCCTCCCTCCCCCCTGCCGCCAAGGTGTGCGTGTGCCCTTCCCATCTACACAGCACGCCCAATCAACGTATCCCAGACCCACAGCTGAGACGTGGGCCAGAAATGCGTTCATTGCGTGGCTGGTAGAGGAAGAGGGCACATACGACACACACTCGGCAGCTCAGCAATAGGTGGAATCACACCGATTCTTTCCATACATTCCTGCATCCCTCCATCCATCCATCCCTGACCTGACTGGCTCGATGTGAGTGTTGCGGGCCTCCCTCTGCTGCCGTGTGTCTCACCGCCCCCCAATCCACGAAGACATCCAACCACAGAGGAATGATTGGCTGGCTCGGTGGATGGCGACTGGTGGAACTCTCGGCAGCAAGAAAGCACCGACCACACAAACACACAAAGGTCTACACAGCAAACCCGCTCCATCCATCCATCCATCCATCCACCATGCTCCCCCTCCCCCCCAGCGTCCCATCAATGGATCGATTCACACACCAGACAGTCACGCACACACAGCAGCATCCGTTCAAAACACCCTAATCACACCCCCACCCCCCTCCCGCCGTCGGTCGATCATGCGTTAAAAATCTGTGGCCCGCCGTACTCCTTGGCGGCCACCGCGGGGCCGTGGCTGATGATGGCCTTGATCGAGTGCAGACCCCTCTCGGCCGCTGGGTCCAACCCGCCCCCCGCACCACCCGATGCTGCCGCTGCCGCTGCCGCTGCTGCTGCTGGGGTGGTCTTCTCGGCGTGGGCAGCATTGGCCGCGGTGGCGATGGTGGCCTGTGGCTGTGGTGCGGCGGTGGAGGCGTTTGTGTCGGTGCTGCTGCCGTTGGTGGTGGTGATGGGTGGCTGGCTGGAGGGGTGTGAGGGAGAGGTTGAGGGGGGCTGGGGGGTGGGGGCCTTGTCAGTCACCTTGCTGGTGGTGCGGCTAGCGTCAGTCGTCTCCTCACACACAACGGCCTGTAATGGAGAAAGAAACAGAGACCTATCCAATCCATGCGAAGAGACGAAGCCCCTCTCTCTCTTTCTCTCTCTGTCCACTCGGTGGTTACCTTTTCGGCCTCTGCGATGTCTGCCTTCTGTGTATTAGGGGTGTTGGGTGCGACCTGCTGCTGCACGTTGGTGTGGTCGGGTGACGGCTGGCCGCCGAGCTCGCCGGTCGTCGGGTCGCCGCCCGATGGCGCCCACACCGATGTGTGTGCAGCGGGCGCGTTGGTGGCCTCGGACGGCACATAACCTGACACCACACCAGACACACACACGCATGCAGAGAGGTGTTCCGTATGTTGGGGGTATGTTGATGCGTGGCGAGTGACTGACTGACGGACCTTCGCTGCCCCCCGGCTGCTGCTGCTGCTGCGTCAACCCCTCCCCGGCTGAGCCGCTCGCCCCTCCGTCCCCCTGCTGCTGCTGGTGGTGGTGGTTGCCAGCTAGTGTGCTCTGGGCGAGCTTCAGCTGCAGCTTCTCCATCAGCAGCCGGATGTCCTCCGGATTGGCGAGGTTGGACACCAGCGACTCGAGCGCGTCCTTAGCAGGCATCATCTGTGTGTGCTGCTGCTGGGCGGGGGTGTAGGGGTATTGCTGCTGCTGCTGCTGCTGGTACGCGTTGGGGTATGCCTGCTGCTGGTGGTGGTCCTGTGTGTAGGGTGTGCCAGTGGTGTGCGGGGCGAAGTATGCGGCCGATGAGGCGATCTGGCCGTTGTGGCTGCTGGGGTAGGGCTGCTGCTGCTGCTGCATCTGCTGCATGTGCTGGGTGGATGCCAGGGAGTTGGGCGAGACGTCCGTGGGGCTCTCCTGACCCATCGTCGACCCACACGACGAACGTACACCTGCACAACACACACACCGACATAGACGACCGCACAATCAATCGTAGGCCATGTGGTCTCCCTCCCTCTCTACGTGTGTGTGTGCGTGTGTGTGTGTGTGTGAGGCGTACTGGCAGTCATGGCCATGGCCATCCCTCCGATGGTGCCGTTGGCTGCGTTTGGCAGCTGGTCGGCCCGCTGGCCGTGGGGAGGGGGCGGCTGCGGCTGGGGGACAGTGAACCGCACCGCCGCCGACGGGAACCACCCACTGCAGCCTTTGTTGCGACCTTGGGTGCACTTGCCATACGTCCTTGAACGCACACACACGCATTCACGCAGAAGCTTCAAGATGGATCGCATCTCTCTCTCCCTCCGTCTCTCTAAGTGACGGGTGATGTGTGACGCACCAGTCATTGGCTTTGTGGATGGTGACCAGCACCTGGTCCCCCCGGTTGAGGAAGAGCATCCTCTCCGTGTGCCTGAAGCCCTCCATCGGCTGGAAGTCGTCGATGATCTCGGCGGGGGTCTCGCTCATGGTCACCGGGACGCCCACCTGGCCCTGGACCTGCTGACCCACCCCCACCAGGCCGTCCATGGCCGCCGCCGCCGTGGCGTCGGCCGGCTGCCCCACTGCCGCACCCATGCCGCCCACACCCATGCCGCCAACACCCACACCCATGCCGCCATCAACGTACCCGCCCTCAGCACCACCTGACGATGACCACACCACACAGAGATCCATCCATCCTGTTGGCTGTGTGTGGAAGGGCCACTGACCCGTCATGAGCCCTGTGGCGTATTCGTTGATCATGTTTTGTTGTCCCTGTGTGGGGTAGAGTATGGTGGGCTGCTGGTAGCCGTAGGGGACGCCTGGCTGCGGCCCCATGGGCTGGTGCGACGCGCTGGGCGGGGGCGGCTGCCCATAGCCGGGCGCGGGGGGGTGGTACCCGTAGAGACCCGGCTGACCGTTGCCCGACGATTGACCACCTGCAGTGAGGGCACACATCCATCCACCATACACCATACACCACAGAGAGAGAGAGAGGGAGAGATGGAGACAGAAGGGGTTGTGTGTGTATGTGTGTGTGTGTGTATGTGTGTGTGTATCCCCCTTCCCCTCCCGTCTGTCCGTGTCCGTGTCCGTTTCTCACATACCTGCCATGGGCATGTGGATGGGCACTGCCTGGTTGGCCGGGTTGCCGAAGGGCCGCCACGGCTTCTGCGGGCCCCCACCGGCCGGGTCATGCCGCAGCACCCTCCTGCCGCCGCCCATCTGCTCCTCGGGCAGGGGGTCGCCTGTGCGCTCGACGAGCGAGACGCCCTCGATGGGCGGGATGTCGATGCCCTTGGTGTACGGCAGCTTGTAGGCGCGCAGGGCACGCTTCTCGGCGAACCCGTGGATGAAGGGGCAGTAGTAGGTGTCGCAACCGCCCTCCTGGTACTTTTGGCATATGTGCCTGACAGACACGATGGACACACACACAGAGGGAGAGACGGCATGAGACAGACAGACGAATGTGTGGGTGTGGGGGTGTGTGCATGCATCTGTGCCACAGAGACACGAGCCTGCCTGTGAGTGCTCTGCCTCTCTGCACTCGCCCCGCCTCTCCCCTGCCTCCCCCCCCCCCCCGCGCACCACACACGCCCCGCCACACATGCGCCACAAATGCAGTCAGTCATTTCGTCTCCCCGGCTCACATTTTGTAGAATAGCGGGTGGTAGACAATCTCCTCGTTGGAGTGTGCGAAGGGGCATGACCCTCCCCTCTTGCACCTGTTGGAGAGAATCTCGTCGCTCATGCCGAGCGACACGTCGGGGCAGGCCATGGGCACATAGCGGAGGCAGTCGGGGTCGCTGAGGTAGAAGGGGCACCTGCGAGGCCAGTAGTCGTTGTGGGAGTACTGGCACCGCCGGCTGCCGAAGTCGCATCCCTCGGGCGCCTTGACGCGCCGACACGGCTTGGTCCTGAAGCGAGAGAGGTCCTCGTCAGACAGCAGCGACGAACACGCCATGCCGACTGCACTATCGCCGACACACACTAGGCCGTCACAACAACAACAAAACCCAAGTGCAGCACCCAAAAGGAGAACTTGCACGACTCGCGAGCTAGTAAGCTCGCAATGGTGGGGCAAGATCGTTCAGATGTAGGCCCCCCTGAGGACAGCAGGAGATTCAGCAGACATCGTGTGATGGCTGGAATCCATCGCAGAGCCGCCTGTGATGTCACACAGCGCCGCGAGCCGAAATCAATGACAGTGGTGAGCTGGAGGCGAGGAGGAAAACCGACAAGCATGATGTGTACGTGTGTCATCGTCTGTGTGTGTGTCTGATCTGTCAGGATGCGTTAGGTTCTCTGCCCCACCTCTCAGAGATCTATCTCACTCGGGTGATCAGATCTCTCTGCTCTCCTATCGGTTGCTTCCTTCGGCAATGACGAAGGACCGGAGGATGACAACGAAGGCACTCCCAAGACACTCATCCACAGCAAGCAAGACCCGACATCAGCCATACCAATCCTGCCCAACTCTTCTGCAAAGCCAAGACCCTCCATCATCGTCCGCTGCTCTCCCAGCAGCTGCCCCTCTCCATCCGACAGCTCTCTTTCTAACAGCAACCAGCCGACTGACCCGTGCCAATGGCCCGACCTGCTGCCTGTCATCTGGTGCTGTATGTGGTGGCTCTGCTGATGACCTTGGCGGCCTCCCAGAGCAGCAGCTCTCATCACTACGGCCATGGCATTGGGTACCAGTCTGACCATGGTGTGTGTCACAAGAAGGAGCCAGTGCACTATGAGTGCCCCCACGGCTACACATTCGATGACGACAGCCACAAGTGCGTCAAACACCAGTACGGCGACCTGCTCTACTACTGCCCAAAGGTCAGTGAACCGACACACACAGATGGATGGCAATAATCGTGTTGCTGATTCATGTCTGTGTGTTGTGTGTGGTGCAGGGCACCAAGGAGGCTCATGACGGCTCATGTGTCAAGTACGACTACACTACCAAGACGCCCTACTGCAAGCACGGCAAGCTGGACGATGCCGCCCACAAGTGCATCGACCACCAGTACTATGACGTCGATTACAAGTGCCCACACGGCTACTTATTCACTGCCGATGAGACCAAGTGCTACGCCGACAAGTACACTGCCAAGCTCTACAAGTGCCCTTATGGCTTCAAGCTGACCACCGACAAGAAGAAATGCATCAAACACATCTACGCCGACCTCAAGTACTACTGCCCAAAGCATTCGTATGCCACGGCCAAGGGCTGCAAGGTGACGACTTACAAGGCCAAGGTGTCCTACTGCCCCCACGGCCATCTGGAGGGCGGCAAGTGTGTGGTCATCAAGGACAGCTACTACTCCTATTACCCCAAGTGCAAACACGGCTACTCATTCCACAACCGCAAGTGCGTCCTCAAGACCTTCCATGACGCCCACCACAAGTGCCCCTATGGCTTCTCGCTCACTGCCGACCACAGCAAGTGCTATGTGGACAAGTATGTGGCCAAGAAGGCCAGGTGCCCCCACGGCTACCAGTGGAGCAAACATGAGAAGAAGTGCATCAAATACGACTATGCCGACCTGCAGCACTACTGCCCAGAGGTGAGACCGAGTGAACACCGCACAACTCACAGGAGGGATGCATTGACGTGGCTGTGTCTGTCTGTGTCGATCAGTACTCTGTGTTGACGCACAAGGGCTGCAAGTCGACCACATATGAGGCCAAGACGCCCTACTGCTCACACGGCCATCTTAATGGCCACAAGTGTGTCGTCAAGAAGCACTACGGCATCCACTATGAGTGCCCTTATGGCTATCAGCTGACCAAGGACGGCAGCAAGTGCTACGCCGAGACCTACCATGACCAGCTCTACAAGTGCCCGTCCGGCTATGAGCTGACTGAGGAGGACACCAAGTGTGTCAGCTACCACTATGCTGACGTGGCCTACAAGTGCTTGAAGGGCAAACTGACGTATGTGGGCTCACAGCCCATTTGCTGCGTCGATCACTATGGCCACGGCAGCAGCAGCAGCAGCAAGTTCAGGGGGGCCAACAGCTACCACTAGCTGAGTGACCGAGAGACTCACTCACCCGCTCAGGCAGACAGAGAGGGGGGGAGGGGGGGCCGACTGCTCTGCTCTTCCGACGTGTGTATACCAGTTGTGACTTGACATTGGTGTGAATAGATAGATGGAGGCCTGTGGGCGGTGTGGTGTGCCCTTTTTTGCTGGCCGGCTGTATGTGTTTGGCGTGTGGGTGAGTGCTTTCGGGTTGTTTGCTCCCATAGTGTGGGCGGGCCGGGGGGCCGCGAGGGGCGTGTGACGGACCTCAGGTGTGTGCGGTGTTTGTTTGGCCATGTGCATCTTGTGTGGGTGTCGATAGATAGGACATGAACTAATTGATGAGTGTAGCCAGCAGTGAGTGCACTTATGGACGTCAGACGTCACACACAGTTGTGTCGATGCATGTGTGTATGTATGTGCGGAGACACGTAAGCTTCAAGTGTGGCGGTCCGAGCTAAGCTAAAAGGCTTCACCCACTCTCCCACCCAACTATTCTACTGCAGGCTAGCCACCACGTGAAAACCCGTCAGAAAAGACGTCTACATGCAGCCACACATAGATGTGTGTGTCTGTCTACCCCTCCGCCCCCTCCTCCCCACTGTCACCCTCCAGCTGGCCGTCCACCTCCCCCTCGCTACCGCCATCGCTGTCACAACCGCTGCCGATATCATCATCCGGCCCGACATTCGTCTCAACCTCGGCTGTTTGCGCCACATGCTGCTGATAGAGGGCCGCCACACGCTGTTCGTCGATGCTGTCCGGAATATGGCGGCCGAGAAACACGATCGCCTGAATGAATGACAACAGACGACCCAGAGACAGTTTGGTGTGTGTTCGCGCCCCTAGGTCGACATAAGGGAGTGCCTTGCAGGTCGGTCACCGGAGCTGCGATGTGAATGTCATTATGTGTCTGCAGCTCGACCAGCTTGTCCACACCGCCGGCCTGCGTGAAACGGAATAGAGAACAGCCGTGTGAATGGTGTCCACTGTCCTCATTCTCTCTCTCTCTCTCTCATCCACTGACCTGCTCTACTAGAGTGGAGTAGGGGCTTTCGGGGAGGCCCTCGAGGGCCTGCTTCTGACGACCCGCACTGATGCACACACCAGACGAACGCAACACAGCACGTGATAGGTAAATGCGGTGTGTGTCCTTTGGCCTTCCCCTGCTACCGTAGTATCTTCTCCAGCACGGAGATGATGATCCCTGGATGGTGATCACTCGATTGTCATTGGCGTTACCATCGAGTGCGTCACAGATGGGCTGGACGCCGCCACACTCAACCACATACTCAACCTGCACGATTGAACGAGGAATGAACACACACACAGACAGGCCCGTGATTGTGGGGCGGTTCAGCGGTCAGCGTAGGCACCTGTTGCTGCGAACCTCCACGGGCTATACTGCCGATGCTCGCTGCTGCTATCTCCCTCTTGCGAGGATCGCTGCCCCCCCTGGCCGCCGCGTTGACCAGCAGCGGCACCAAATCGGCATCGATGACCGTCTGCACGTGGGCAGTGGTGCCTGCATCAAATCCATATATTACACACACAAACACGGCCCCCCACACTTGACGTCCACGGAATCAGTGAGTGTGTGTGATGGTATGTCTTACCTTCAGCGATGCAGTGCACCATCATACATGCGATGCATTTCCCAACGTCATCGGCCACCTCCAGCAGCGCCGTGAGCGATCCCACGGCGCCACACTCGACCAACGCGTCACGGTCGGCATCGGTACCTGAGAACGCGGGCAGGAAGGACAAAGCCGACCATGCAGCTCAGAACGGTCTCTCAGGCACTCATGTATACTGACCGTCTTCCCCAACACACAAACTCGCGAAGTGCGCCACGGCTCGTCGTGCGGGCTGCAGCACACGGTCATTCTGCTGAGGTGCGCCGATCAGGTTGACCAGGACCGGCAGGAAGGGGGCGAACTCGGCCAGGGGGGCGGGGAGGGGTCGGTCGCACCACAGGTTGCCCAGCAGGTGGGCACCCATGGCGAGCACGTCGGCCTTGGTGCTCTCGCGCATCGCCGTCAGCAGCGGCTGCAGGACGCCGGCCGCCACCACGGCATTGCGACAGGCCACCGATCCCTCCGTGGTCTTGAACAGCGCAGCAATCGCCATTACACGCACATTGTCATGAGGTGACGACACGAGCTGCACGAGAGGCGGGACGGCACCGGCATCCACCACCACCACCGCATCGCCATGACGCACCGCCAGCTCGCTTAGGGCAACTGCTGCAAATTTCTGCGCCTCCTCGCAGCCGCTCAGCTGCTCGACCAGCGCAGGCAGCGCGCCCGCACTGATGGCCTTCTGCTCCATGACATCTACGTGCTTGACGGACAGCAGCAGGAACAGCAGCCGCACGGCGTCAGCCCGAAGTCGTGGTTGGTCCTGGTGCTGTGGACCGCCGGCAGAGGCCATCACTTGGCAGAGATCGTTCATGACGGCAGTGATCTCGGCCTCGATGGCCTCGAAGCCCCGCTGCTGGACGGCTTCGTCGTATGCCTCTTGCGTGTGGATGGCATTGTACAGCTTTGTCGCCTTGACCAACACCGCTTGGGGCGGTGGATGGCCAGATGTGCTGTCCGCCGACTCCATCTCGTCACACTGCGAAGACCCACACCCACACACACATGGTGCAGAATAGTCCGTGCCTGCTCTGCTTGATCCATCTGACCTTGAGGTGCTCAGCGGTCCTCTGTTTTGCTGCTGAATGGTCCCGCTGCCGCCCTGCTGTCTGTCCGGCGCAGATGTCACAACTCACACCTGGAGAAGAAATGACAGCACGAAATGAGATAGATCAGGGCTGCCCGAAGATTCCCTCTGGACCCTTGCTCATCACTGCTAACTCACCGACAGAGATCTCCTCCACAGCCCGAGAGATGGACGCAGCCCGACAGCAGGCAGGCACTCAACGCTAAAAGAGAACACAGCACGCCTCTGCAGAAGTCTGGCGGCTCACGGGAAGGGCACCTCCATCGCCGGCATCCAGAGTTTCTCATCTCTTCCAGCTCGCACTGCCTCGATCGTTCCTGGCAGCCTGTTTCAGCGATTGTGGTGCCTTCCAGAGGGCAGCAGGAGCCCTATCAGACACAAACTGATGGTTGGAACTCATCGCTGAGGCCCATCGCAGGGCATCATGGCGGCTGTCACGGTGAGAGAGGGAATGATGATGGAATGATGACTGATCAATTAAGAGGTGCTCTGTGTTCTGTGTGGTTGGTCTGACAAACAGGTCGGTAGCATGAAATGGCCGCAGCAGAGAGGTTCGCCCGACTCGCACACACCAACACACAACAGATGCCCTCAGAGGTGTGCTGTGCTGTCTGTGATGTGTTGCAGCCGTGTTGGTGGACGGGATCGTCAAGAGAGCAGCGTCGATGGGCTGCCGCGACGCGACCGTCATGCGGGCGGTGCGGCTGCTGGACCTGTGCCATACCGATGGAATCATCGACACGGACAACGCCACACAGGCAAAGAGATCTGAATGACAGACAGAGAGTAAGGACTCGTGGGATGTGTGTGTCACTTGGCTGGCTGCTGACACGCAGGTAGCAGTTGCGTGTGTGGCCGCCTGCGTCAAGCGGCTGGAGCCACACCTGCTGATGGACGACATGCCTGATGACCCTTCCCACACACGGGCACAGGTATTGAAACACAGACACAGACACGCACACGACGCTCACCTGTGCAGCGCCGACCTGTTTGTCTGTCTGTTTGTTTGTTTGGCTCTGTGTGTGCAGGTGGTGGGTCGTGCGGCGGCTGATAGTTCTGTGTGCGGCATTGGGTGTCTGGAGAAGCTGTTCACTGATGCCGGCATGGACACCCACGGCCGCCTGTTCTCAGTCGCCAAATACCTCATGGTAAGCCGGTCGGCCACTCAGACACAGACACCTGCAGCCGTCGAATGGCTTATCCATGTCTGTCTGTGCCCTTTGTGTGTCCACAGTTTCTGTCGATGTGTGAAGTCGAGTTGGCCGGGTGCGATGTCCGTCTGCTGGCCGCCACGGCCGTCTACATCACACGCAAGAACCACCAGGACCAAATAAGGGGCCGCATATGGGTGGGCCAGAGCGGCACGTGTCATGATGTGTGTATGTGTGATGGCCTGGGTGGGTCAATGTCCGTCAGAGTGCGGCCCTTGTGGCTGAGAGTTCGGTTAGCGAGGCGGCGTTGGAGTCTGCCATAGCGACGCTGAGGATGCAGCGGCTGCTGTGGCGCGACACACAGACCACCAAAGGGGTGAGGGACACACCAGCACACAATGTGCGTGTCACTGTGTGTCCTTTGTGTGTAATTGTGTGTGCAGATAGTCACGGATGCAGTGGACGAGATGTTCGCCTCGGCCGACCGCCACGGCGTTGCGTTGACACACAGCCACCCGCAGCAAGAGCGCCAGCAGCAGGTGGGTGTGACACAGCCGACCGACCGAAATGCGCCAGATGTGCCTTGACGTGTGTGTGCCGTCTGCAGGATGGCAACAAGGACCATCCCCTCGCCCATTTCTTTGTCGACGACCGGTGCTGCATCCCCGACATCAGCACCACGCTCCAGCTGAGGGCAGCCGCACCATGCTTCAGAAAAGCCTTCTCACCAACGCAGCTACGCAACCGCCTCCACCACTCGATAGCCCGTGAAGGCATCGACACTCAGCTGGTGCAGTTCGACACATCGCTGGGAATGGGTGAGCTGATGGCGGCGGTGTGGATCGCCGAGGAGGGCGGGCGGTGGGCTGAGACGAGGGAGGTGCTGCAGTGGGCCAGCCAGTGCCGCTACTGTACACTGCCCATCATGCTCACGGCAGATGACATCAACACACACGCCAGCAAGACGGTAAGGCACACACAGAGGGGCGGGAGAGAACAGAGAGGCCTCATCCCCTCTCTGTCTGTCTGTCTGTCTGTCTGTGGTGTGGTGTAGGCGTATGGATTGTTAGCTCGTGTGTTGGCGCAGCTCATGGTGGTCGGCCGCCACGTGGCCTTCGGTGACGGCAGCTGCCTGCAGATCTTCCGCCATGCCAATGGTGAGGTGCGGGCCATCAAGGACGAGCCCGGCTTTCGGCTGACCGTCAACCCGGTCATCCCCGCCCACCAGCTGTATCAGCAGCATCGCCTACAGCATGACCCACCAGTGGAAAGCCGCATCGAATACTGGGCCATCGACGGCAGATGGGTGTCGAGCTTCCCGTTCGAATATCCGTCGGTGTCGTCGTTTGCCAAGGACATGATCCTCAGCCACTTCGCCTTCACTCACCAGATCAATCGCACATCGATACGACTCAACAGGTAACACATCAATGGCACCAGTGGCGAGAGGGGTGCGTGTTCGATTGTGTGTGTGTGTGTGGTTCAGGTATGTCGGTGGCGGCCGCCTGGATGGCCTCCTCACCCAATCGCCCCACACACAGGTGGCCGGATGCACAACGACATACAGCTGGGACGGTCGTGTGCTAGACCTGGTGCTCACCGATAGCAGCCACAACTTCGTCGCATGGATTCCCCTTGAGGATATGGGAAACGACAATGGTCAGCCCGACAGACAGACAGCTCTGCTCGTCAAATGTTATTAGTGTTATCTGTCATTGTCCACAGTGTTGGTTAGTGTCGAGACCAGTGAGGCGGCCGTATGTGGGAGTGGTGCCTTCAAGGACCGCTACCCCGTCACCATTCAGCTAGCGCGTGTGGCGCTGGGGCGAGTGGCGCCATACGTCTTCGACGGCCAAGTAGAATGATGATGACGGTAGGGACACGCACAAACACAGGCCGGATGGACGGCACGACGTGGCTTGTGTTGTGTGTGGTTGTGTGTTTGTGTGTCGTGTTAGGTTCCGACGATGGCAGCGATGATGAGGGCAGTGCAGGTACCAAAGAGAGAGGGAGGGAAGGCACACAGCACACAAGTGTGTCCCTCCTTGTGCACTCGACAGGTGACGGTGTCTGATTGAGCAGTCAACTACCACTGGTACGCCACAGAAATGCCACGCGCGAAGCCGATGAATGTCTTCGGTCATCCAATTGCGTTGTGTGTGCACAGGCCGAATGGTGGTCGGTGTACCACTCACTCACTCTGGATCTTGGATGGTCAGGGGTTACCATATGCCTCTGATGCCGTCACGTCAGTTAGGCTATGGCTTTGCTTTTTGTCCGTGCGTCTCTCCCTCCCCCTCTATGTGTGTGTGTCTGTCTGTGTGAATAGAGATCTTCTCGTCCTCATGGCTGGCTGGCTGGCTGGCTGGCTGTGGGTGGGTGGGCCTGTGGGTGCGCTGAGTGCTCTTCACTGCTGCAGTGGCCGATTTTGATGTGATGCTGCGGGGTGTGTGAGTGTGTTTGGCTGCCTGGTCGGGCCACTCGCAACCAATCAATGCATGTGTGTGTGCTGATGGAGACCTCTCTCTCAATGATTGTGCGCCTGAGTGTCCAACACTGTCCCACACCCCCAGAACGTGGGTCCAGGATTTCAAACCCTCCTCCCCCTCCCTCCCCTTCAGTAGATCTTCCTCCGCCGGCGTGGCTCTTCATCTTCTGCAGATGCAGCAACAGCAACATCAGGAGCAACAGCATCCCTTCGCGTACATCTTCCTCGGCCGCCTCACGTGGTATCTTCTCAGCATCGTCGACGTCGTGCAGCTCAGAGCCACCTGCACATGGCTCAGGGGTCTCTTCGGAGCGCCCCAGCTGAGAGATCGGCTCCGCCACTCTGTCGGCTCACAGGCGGGGCCGCGGCGGGCGGTGAATGGGCAGCAGGTGCAGCTGCTGCGGTTCGACGACGACCAGTTCGGCGTGCGGGATCTGCTGGCGGCTGTGTGTGTGATGGAGGAGGGGAGCTGGGTGGAGATCGGTGTGGTCATTGAGCTGGCGGGGCAGTGCGGCTACTGTGAGCTGCCTGTCATCCTCACATCCGATGACATCAACACACACGCCAACAAAACGGTGAGCCAGCAAACAGAGGGGCGGGGAGGGGACAGTGAGGCCTCATTCCCTCTCTCCCTGTGTGTGTGTAGGCGTATATGTCGGCTCCGCGTGTGTTTGCACAGCTCATGGTGGTTGGCCGCCACGTCAAGTTCAGTGACAACAGCTGCCTGCAGATCTTCCGCCATGCCAATGGTGAGGTGCGGGCTATCAAGGACGAGCCCGGGTTCCAGCTGGACATCGACCCGCCCCTCCTCGTCGGCCATCTGTATCAGCGGAACCGACTAGAGCATGACCCGCCAGTGCGCAGCGGCATCAACTACAATGGCGGCAGATGGGTGTCGAGCTTCATCCCGTTCGAGTATCCGTCGATGTCATCGTTTGCCAAGCGTGTGATCCTCCGCCACTTCCCTCAGACTCACCAGATCAATAGCACATTGACTACACTCCACAGGTACCAACCACATCTACGGCACCAATGGGCGAGAGCGGTGCGTGTCTGATTGTGTGTGTGTGTGTGTGTTTGGTTGGTTTAGGCGTGTTGGTGGCGGCCGTCTGGATGGCCTCCTCACCCAGTCGCCCCACACACCGGTGGCCGGATGCACCATCACATTCAGCCGGGACGGTCGTGTGCGATGGCTGGTGCTCACCAACAGCAGCCACACCTTCGTGGCATGGATTCTCATTGAGGATCAGACCGATAATGGTCAGGCCGACAGACAGGCAGCTCTGGTCGTGATCGAATGCCATGTGATGGTCTCTCTGTCATTGTCTGCAGCGTGGGTTGACGTCGTGACGACCGAGGTGCCCCTGGCGGGTGTCAGTGAGAATGCGCCTTTCAAGGACCGCTTCCTCGTCACCACTCAGCTGGCCCGTGTGGCGTTGGGGGCGGTGGCGCCATACGTCTTCGACGGACAAGTACAGCAGCAGCAACAGGATGACGATAGCGACGATGGTATGCACACACACACATTGGTGGACGGATGGACGATGTTCCTTCACTTCTGTGTGGTGCAGACGGCCATGGTGGTGGCTGGGATGATATGGACGACGACAGCGAGGGCGAGGACAGCGGAGGTACGCAGCCACACACAGCACACGCATACCCGCACGTCGGCCTGCGTCACATTCAGGTGTGTGTGTGTGTGTGTGTCCTGTGCACTCGACAGGTGAGGATGCCGCAGCTGAGGAGGAGAGCGGCGACTGATCGATCCATCAGTCAGTACCGGTGGCTGAGTGTGGGTGTCTGCCGTCAGGAGGGTATCTTTAGCTGCTGGCTTTCGTCATTCATCTCTGTAGCCAATCTGCTCACTCTGTCGACCAGCTGCTCATTGATGTGTCACTTACCGAATGTCTGGCATGGCTCTGATGCTTGCGTGAGTCGGTCTATGGCTTCGCCTTCTTCTCCGTGGGTCTCTCTTCTCAGCTATGTGTGGCCCTCTCCCTCCCTCCCTCGCTTCGTCTCTATCTGTGTCTGTCTGTCGGTGTGGTTCGATTCGCTGCTGGCCGATTTTGATGTGATGCTCCGGCCGGTGTGTGGCTTTGGTTGGTTGCCTGGCTGACTCACCTGCCTGCCTGCCATAACTCTCTCGAGATGACTGTGTGATGGAGTGTGTCTCTCGGCGTGTGCACACGATGGCCGTGAAGTGACATGTGTTCATGTGGTTGTTCAGATCTTTCCTGTCAACGACTGTTAAGTGATCGCAGAGTGAGCTCTGTCGTGGGCGAAGCTACTCTGGGGGGCTAAGCTCGCAGACCCGAATGTAAATCTCCTCGTTCAGCTGCATGCCCCTTCTCCGTCGCTTCTCGCCGTTTCATTTGCCTTCCCATCTCCGCCGGCGGGTGATGGTGGCTTTATCAATGCAGACGGGCGTCATCATCTCCGCCTCTCGTCATCACCAGTTTGCCGTCAATGCGTCCCTCTCTCCCTTCACCACGGCAACTCGACAACTTTCTTCAAGGAATGCTGACGCCCTTCTGCGATGGGAGGATGAAGGAATGGGCGAGGCCGCCGCTGCAGAGCGCCGGCGGAAGATGGAGTGGAGGCTCATCGGCAACTCGGGCGTGCAGTGTGTGATGGATCTGCTGAGGCGATGGTTTGAGGTGCAGAGGACCTGGGAGATGGCCCAGGCTGACCTCGCTGTGCGGCCTTTGGGCGTGGATGAAGATGTGTGGCTGCCAGTGCAAGTCAAGACCAGCAAGGAGAAAATAACCCGTTTCTGGTTCTTCGGCCGTGTTCACCATTACGCCGACATGCCCGTCATCTGTGTGGCTCTTTCGGACCTCCGCATCTGGTGCTACAGCGGATCCGTACTGCAGCAACGACTTACATATGGGAAACTCAGCGTGTATGAGAATGGGCGGTGGAACCATGAGAGCTTCCGGTGCTCAAGGGCCCTTGAGGGCCCGGCATCTCTGTCGCACAAGCTGCTGGTGGCCTATCAGGACCCCTCGTTCACCAAGGACTCGCTGGCGAACATCATGCTGCAGCGGTCCGAGACGCAGCAGAAAGGCCAGGAATCCGTTGCCGCATGGGCTGACCTACTATCTGCTGCTGACGTGGAGGTCCGTCAGCAGCTCATCTACGAGATGACGCCTGTCGATGCTGTTTGGTGGTGGAATAAGAAGCGATTCCCCATTCAGCACAAACAGGCTTTCCTTCACCATTGCAACAACGGCTCATATCATGTCGTCCTTTAGAAGAGCGCCGGCAGGAAGGGAGGACGCTATACATGGCAGCTGTACGATGAAGGAGACTTTGATCTGCTCGCTGTTTCTCTGCCTGGTGGCCGCTATGCCTATCTCATTCCCATGAGGAGGCTAATGGAGCGTCGGCTGGTGAATGGACCGACGGACAGGCGTCAGTGCAGTAGTGCGTCAGTGATACTTTGGACGCCCGAGGAGATGCAGAAACGACGGGGCCACAGAGCTGACTTTTGGGCGAGCACGCACATGATTGACGCACATACAGCAGATGGCGGGGTGGGGAGGCTGCACGCTATCCTTGAGGGTGCCAGGTGCTCTAAATGACATGGTATGACACATTCGTGCCTGTGTGCATGCGTCTCGGTCAATGATTGCGTGTGTGGTTTTTCAAGGGACAAAGAGGGGGCGTCCCATACAACAGCTGTACGACGAGGGAGGCTTTGATCTGCTGGCCGTCTCGCTGCCTATTGATCGCTATTTCTATGTCACTCCCATGAAAGTGCTGGTGCAAAGGGGCCTCGCAAATAGCAGGACAGACGTGCGCATGCTGTTTGTGAGCACGGGATGTGCTCGACATAACACGATGATTGGATCTGTGCGTGCGTCGGATTGGATGAAGGTATGTGTAAGGGAACATGCAGATCTGTCAAAACAGTCGAACACCTGCAACCACTGTCCATGTCTCAAGACACACGCACACACACACATCGATAGGTGCAAGTGCCTGTGTGTGTGATGAACGCGTCTGTCAATGTATACGGCTGTAAGAAGACAGGCGAAATGGATGCGAGAATCGAATCGTTGTGCAGAGACACACAGGCAGACGTACATGTTCTCCCATCTCAGCGAGTGAGATGGGATATACGCCCTTCCACTGGCTGCTATCCATGTTCTGTCTGCCCTCCACTCTCATCATCACTGTCGCTGTCGCTCTCCGCCCCTGGCTCTTCATTCTCCTCTGACCACACCTTGCTGCCCAACTCACCCCCACAGACACCCATCACCGCACCACGTGTCCGTGTGTATGGACACTCTTCGGTCGTGTGCACTTGAATGCCCACCGATCCGTACACACGCCGACCGTCATTTAGCTCTAGATACACCACAACAACCGCCGCCACCTCAGTGTCCGCCAGCAGCACATATCGGCTGTGCCAGGTGGGCTCCGTCTCGGTCTTGGCATCGAAAACGTGACACCCCTCAACTGGCCCGGCAGGCGATTCCGTCAGCAAGGCCACGCACCGACGATAGCAGGACGATTCAGACAACAAGGACCGCCACGTCTTGCAACGGCTGCGGAGCCGCTCATCAGCCCGCAGCAGGCAGTCGCCGACCATGCAGCTCAGTGAGCGGAACGTCACTCGAAACTGAGGATACCGTGCCGACGGGTTATGCGGGTCGAATGCGTCAAGAAAAGGGGCATAGGGGATCGTCCGCAGCTGGAAGGGGTGGAAGCCACTGCTCGTGAAGTCAGCCAGCCGATCATTGCCCTCCAGCAGCCGCTGGCCGTCAACCACCGCTTCCCTACCAATCACACTCAGCTGTCTCATGGCCTCTGGGGCGGTCAGGAATGACTGCCGCCCTGCCCTTCTGCTGACATGGTCGAAACTCGCCTCACCCAGCACCAGTGGCTCGCCGCGGAGCAACCGCATGACCACCAGATGCGGCCGCCATCTGACCCACTCGCCGCCATGCTCCAGCACAAACAGCCGCCTCAGCACACGGGGCAGCTCGTCAGACACGCTCAGCCACGCCGCCCCGTCGCTGCGGCTGCGCCGATGGTGGGGGCCCTCGATGGCCGCCACACGCAGCAGCTCAGCGCCGAGGTTCATGTGAGTGTCGATAGCCTTTGAGAGGCGGCTGGTGAAGTAGGCACCATCGATTGGGTGCTCTGTGGCGACAATGAAGTCGGTCTTGACCAGCCGGAGGGTCAAGGCGTCATCGGTGTCCAGCAGGTCGGCCAGCAGCGGATGTAGAGAGGAGGGGATGCCGGAAATGGGGGAGGCGGCCATGGGAAGATGGAGTCGAAAAACGCGGAGACCTCTTTTCGAAAGGGCTAGGGGACTGTTTCTGTAGCCTGCGAGGGACAAAAGTGTAAGAATAGGTGGGAGAGAGTCGGGGAGAATGGTGAAGAGAGGATCTGCCGGGCGGTCAGTCCCGGATAAAGGATTAAGTCAATGCAACGTAAGGTCTGTGGATTTTGTGGAGAGTCCACGTAGG